CCTCGGTGCTCAAGCCATAGGCAAAGATCCGGCCTCAAGTCCTCCAGACTGGCCCAACATACTCACAAAGATTACCTCTCGCCCCTCGATCGGGGAATCATAAACCATCAAGGCACATATAATACTGAGCGCTCAGGTGCGTATACAGACCTGAGGAAGGAATTTCAAGAGTTATATCTCAAGCTGAATCAAGTATGCACGATAAGAATTCCAAGAAAGTGAAGTTTTCCAAAAGGTTCAGCAGCCTCTCGAGGATAAATACAGACGTCTTCGTACCGATTCGCGAGACTCTACTAAACCTGCTTATGACTCGTGAGACCTAGTAACCTAGGCTCTTATACCAACTTGTCACGACCCAATTTCCGAACCCGGTCGTGATGGCGCCTCTCGTGAAGACAAGGCCAGCCAACTAACCCAAATCGTCTCTTTAAGCACTATTAAACATAAATGAATAGTTAATTACAACTTAACGGCAATAATAACTGGTGTTTACAACCCAACACAACCCGACCGGGGTGTCACAAGTCACGAGCATCTAAAGAAAACCTTAACACAACTACAGGCCAATAAATATATACTAATAAAATTTCTGGTAACAAAAGACAACATCCGGTGCCGCGAACGCTGGCGGTCACCTTGCTCAGCTACAATAACAATACCTTCAATCCGCTAATAACCCGCTACCGGGTGAACGATACCTGCAACTGCACACGAGGTGCAGGGAGTAAAGTGAGTACTTCCAACTCAGTGAGTAATAGAAGTAAATAATAACTGAGCAGCAAGAAATCACGTAAAGCAACCAATGGGCTGTACAGAAGCCGGGTACAATTTCCGAGAAAACAGTGAAATCAGAGAACTTCTTTAGAAATGTTTCGGCTCAGTTCAAATCTCTTTTGAAAATGGTCCTTTCAATAATTACGAAAACTGTTTCAAATAGGTAGTGCTGATTAGCACAGAAAATCCGCCCCTCGGGCACAAATACCACAGCATAGCAAGTAAAAATGCAAATAAGTATGCAAGATGAACACATAAAAGTTCGCCCCTCGAGCATGAATTTCGTTACTAGTCAGTCATTGTTACCTGACCGGTCAGCCATTGTTACCTGACTGGTCAGTCATTGTTACCTGACCAAAACACGTATGATAGTGTCATTGTTACCACTGTCCAATTCTAAATGGGTACCCGCGCTCACTGTGGGTGTGCAGACTCCAGAGGGGCTCCTACAGCCCAAGCGCTATATCATCATAAGGCCTGAAAGCCTGTACATATCAACATGAGGCCTGAAAGCCTCCTCACATCACTCAGTCTATCCTAACATATGGCCCTCGGCCTCAATCAGTCCAAGGACAATCATAATCCCCTCGGGCATTAGTAAAGAAACAATAATGCTCAGCTCCAACAGTAGTTCAAATATCAGTTAAAACTCAAGGTTGAGTAAAAAATATAGCTGAGGTCATGAAACAGTGTAATGACAATGGACTGAGTTCAAATAATATTTCAAATAATGAGGAAAAACAGTGATGATAGCTCATAGGGAGTTCGAACAGTCGGCAATAAGCCCCAAATATGGCAATAAGACCAAGTCATAGTGAAAAAAAACAACAATAAGTCATAGCGAAATACGCGGTAAAATCAACAACCGGGACGGACCAAGTCACAATCCCCAACGGTGCTCTACCCCACGCTCTCTATATGACGTGCAAGTCACCTCAATATAGCACTATGGGTGCAAAATCCGGGGTTTCAAACCCTCAGGATATCATTTACAATCATTACTCACCTCGAACCGGCGAAATCTCTAGCCTGTGATGCCTTTGCCCCTCAAATCGGCCTCCACGCGCGTCGAATCTAACCAAAATCAGAGCAAATACGTCACACTAAGCCAAGGGAACAATACCCAATCGAAAACAATCAAAATATAGCAAAAATCTCGAAACTAGCAAAACCCGAGCCCCGGGCCCGCTTCTCGAAAAATTACGAAACTTACATTACCGGATTCCTCGTCTCGCCACGAGTCCGTACATACCAAGAACTCCCAAATCCGAGCTCAAATGACCTATCAAATCCCAATTTGAAAATATAAAAACTCAAGCCCTAGCTCTTCCAATTTTTTACTCCAATTTCCATGAATTAAAGGTTGATTCTTCAATAAAATGACTTTTCTAGGTCACGAGACTTACCTCCAATCAATTCCCGTCAAAATCCTCTTCAATTTCTACCAAAAAGCTCTTAAGGTGGTCAATAATGGAGGAAATAATGAATGGGGTCGCGGATGAAATAATATAAAAAAAAACCTCTGGACGCCCAGGTTTTACCTTACGCGAACGCGGTCAACACCCCCGCGTTCGCAATGAACAAATTCCCTTGACCACAAATTACCTCTACGCGGACGCGACTCCAGGTATGCGAACGCGATGCTCCAGCTCACCCTCTTACGCGAACGCGTTCGACCAACCGCGAACGCGATGCACAAACCAGGCAGGACCCCAGGCCCCTTCTACGCGAACGCAAAGCAGCCCTCGCGAATGCGATGGTCTGCACAACTCCTCATCGCGAACGCGCTCCTAAGGCTGCGAACGCGAAGGCCATTTTCCAGGCCTCTCAAATTTACTCTACGCATTCGCGAAACACCCTACGCGAACGCGATGAACAACACTTCTGCAACAACACAGCTGAAAACCTGCAATACTATAAGACCAGAAATGGTCCGATTGACCACCCGAAATCACCCCGAGGCCCCCGGGACCTCAACCAAAAGCACCAACTTATCCCATAACATCATTCAAACTTGTTCCAATCATCAAAACACATCAAACAACGCTAAAACCATCAAATCACATCGAATTCAAGCCTAAGTTCTTCAAAAACTTTCGAAATGCACTTTCGATCAAAAACCCGACCAAACGACGTCCGAATGACCTAAAAATTTGCACATATATCCAAAATCACCTAACGAAGCTACAGGAACTCTCGGAATTCCATTCCGACCCTCGGATCAAATTCTCACCCATCAACCGGAATTCGCCAAAAATACTAACTTCACCAATTCAAGCCTAATTCTACACTGGACCTCCAAAATCAATTCTGACCACGCACCTAAGTCACAAATCATCCCCCGAAGCTAACCGAATTACCGGAAATCACATTTGAACCTTCTAACTCATAAGTCACGTCTGGTTGACTTTTCCAACTGAAGCCTTCCTTAAAGAGACTAAGTGTCTCATTTCTTATCAAAACCAATCCAAATCAACTCTCACACACCACATACCGATAACGAAACGTGAAGAAGCAATAAACGGGGAAAACAGAGCAGTAACACATGAGACGACGGGTCGAGTCGTCACAAAAGTGGCTTGTAATAGGTGTATTACAAGTTAGGAGGAATTAAGAGTTTAATTCCTAAATTGCATAGGTTGTAATCTAAAGATTGCTCATAGTGAAGTTGAAATCCTACCAGTGTAGGTCGTGGTTTTTTATCCCCTTGAACAGGAATTTTTCCACATAAAAGTTCCCTGTTCCATTTACTTACTGTTACATTAGCGATTATCTGTGAAAACCTATATAGGACCTGGTCTCTATATAATTTGGTGGACTCATATATTTTATCAATTTAGCATAAATATGATATGAGTTGAGCTTAAATGCAAAAGCTAGATTTTATATAGTTGACCTCAACTTGTTTGGCTAAATTTTCAATAAGTTAAGGCATATCTTTACATGGGACGGACTTATTTAAACTCTGAAAATTGGAAAGATAATAATTAGAAATCCGCCTTAGATAGAGACTTAACTCATTTGTAAAATATAGCCAGGCAATTCTGAAGCTAGTGATATTATAGACTAAAATTGTTGCCTGAAATGCTGTCTTTAATGAAAAATTAAAGTTGCATCTTGTATTTTCCTGTATGCTAGCTAATCTACATTTTGGTCTATATATTACTGTTATGTGGCTGTAATATTCACAATGTAAAGCTAATGTAATTAACTTGGAAAAAATAGAAAGTAAGGCTAGGAAAAGAGAGGGAGAAGCAAACAGTGCTCTAGTAACTAGTCCATTTTAAATGCAATTATATCGAGAGCAACAACAACAATAACATACCCAGTATTATCCCACACTATAGGGTCTGGAGAAGGTAGTATGTACGCAGACCTTACCCCTAACTTGTGAGGATAGAGAGGTTGTTTCCAATAGACCCTCGGCTCAGGAAAGCATAAGCACCACATTAACGAAAATATAGACAAGGGACAGTACCAAAAAGCCATATAAAAGCAGAATAAAAACAACAAGATAGTAAGGTGATCAACAATGAAAGAAAACAACGGTTAGTCATAAAAACCTACTACCAACAGAAAGGAAATTCAAAAATAGCCAGATTTACCACTGGTCGTTGAAAAATAGCCAAGTTTCAAAAGTCATCGAAATTTAGCCACTTTAAATCTGAGCGAAAACACTGTTCAAAATCCGGAAAAATACGCCCGCAAATTTTACTGAAGTTCCAGCATAAGTATGCTTGAACTCCCTTAAATTTTACGGAAATTCCAGGATAACTATGGTGGAACTCCCGCAAAATTTACGGGAGTTCAAGCATAATTATGCTGGAACTCCCGCAAATTTTACGGGAGTTCCAGCATGTATAATTGTCCAGTATAATATACTGGAGTTTGGTGCTCCAGTCTCCCGCAAATTTTACAGGAGTTAGCAAAGTATACCGGTCCAGCATAATATGCTGGAGTTCGTACACAAATGCACCAGAACTCCCGTATATTATACTGGACCGGTCCCTGTTGTAGCAAAATAGTGGCTATTTTTCATTGACTTGATAAACGCTGGCTATTTTTCAATGACCAGTGTGAAAACTGGCTATACCATGATATTTTAACAGCGAAACTGCGTGCCAATACTACTGTAATGAAACATGAAAATGCACTTGTATATTAAATGCTTAAGATCCGTACATATTGTATTTTTATCATTTTCCTATATAAAATGCAGCATTATATTTTTTTTTTTTTTTTGATGACCGAGAAATCCGTCTGGGGTCGATCCTTTGGACCAACCGCAGCCTTCGAAACTCGGTGGATAACGGGCCCGCCCCTCTACCCTTCTCCACAAAAAAAAAATGCACCATTATATTTTCTTGTAATGAGATCTTCGGCTGAATAAAACACTAGGAATTACAACACTAGTTAATATTAGTAAGAAATTATATTAGCTCAAAATCTTGAGTAAAGAGAAATGAAGTCACTTGCATGTCTCCCAGGAGTAGCTTATGTCCTTTTCAATTTGGGTCTACCTTTCAGCCAGAACCAAGAACACTGGTGTAGTCTTCACAGTGCAGACCATATGCTGTGAAAATCATTATTAACTAATGATTGTTCACATGATGGAGAGAAAAATCTTAGTGCACTTTCGCCCAAACTAGCACCAGATGCATATTCATGGCTGGACCAAACTCCACGACCGAGCAATAGTACTCCTCAAGAGTAAAAGCCCAAACATCACATTGCCCAAGACCTTCACAAGCAACACATTTATCAAATTCAGAGTGTATTCGGCCTCCAAGTGGATGTTATGTTTAGTGTAAAATCAAATTTAGGTGTCATCCAGTTCAACAATTTGTGCTCTTTTGTCAGGGGCTTCCTTCCTGATAAAGATGCCCCATCTCAATGCTGCTTTAAGTTTGAGCCACCCGACAACAGCCTTGCCTGAACGTGTGTGGTCCTCTTGAAAACCATAGGTTGAAGATATGCTGGGCATGTATGATGATCCATACTGGTAATTATCTTGTGTGCTACTAGAAGAAGCATGATTCTGGCCACCCAGGTTGATACGGAGAAGATGTTGCATGTCTTCGTTCTCTAGCATCTCATGACTTCTCATGCGTATTTCTTGCTCCGTAAAGAAGTCATCAGCTCCCTTGTAGGATGGATTAGGGGTGCTAGCAGCAACAAAGCTAGAAAATGACGACTCCGGTGGGCGAAGGGTCTGTATACTCCCACTTCCAGATGGCTGAGTTTGTTGTGACGTGCCCACAAAGTGGTGGTTCTGAGGGGGAAACGGAGCACCATTTAACTGTTCATTGACACTTAGATTCGCGTTCTGAGACTGTATGGTATATGAACCGGTACGGCTATCATTATACCCTGGAAAAACAGAGAATATGCGCAATACTTGGTAAATGTTATGTTAGAGAGTAGAGACAAGTAGGTGTCATAGCATATCAATGAGTTAGCATAGTTGAGCAGTTATTCATGCATATTACCAGCCAATTGTTAAGTGAGAGTTAGAAAGCATTACAGGGCTTAACTAGAGAATGAGTGTCACAATATATCAGTAAAATATGTAGCTTAAGAAACTGACTATATTCCATTTATGAGACAAATTGACTAGGCATGGTGACTAAGAAGTCAATTTGACTTGTGCATTATTTTAGTAGTAGAAAAGGAAGGAAATAGTTGTTTATAAGTTGATTTACGAGTAAAACACCAGGTCATCATTGCTTCAACTATTAGTGCATTTTGATGACACGACCCGGGCTCAAGTGTTCAATCCGCTTTGGCCCGATCCCTCTGGGTCACTTCAAAGCTTTTGAGCCTCATGGTTTTATCCCCTTTGACTTTTAACCCACAAGACACCTCAACAGTTGATTGCTGAACTCGCCCTTATATGGTCCCTAACTTTCCCCTCCCATTCCGATGTGCAATTTGCCCAAGGCAAGTTCCACAGCAAACAGTCTTTTGAGTTCAATTGGTAGCTGTCCATGGCGCATTACACTCACTGCCCTCCACACCACCAACCCCCCTCCCCCCCCCCCAAAAAAAAAAAAAAACCCCCATTAGGGGATCATCATTCTCAGTTTCTCCCTGAGGTTTGTCCCATCACCGTACTAGGGAATGTACCAGTTTTGACACCACCTGTCACTGTCCAGACAACTGCCAAGGCATTGTCCACTTTGGCTCGACTCCTCTAGGTCACCTCAAGGTTTTTAGACCTCACAGTTTTGCCCCCTTGGGCTTCAACCCAAAAGGCGCCTCAAAAATTGAATCATAAATTCACAGTTATGGCCCCTAACTTTCCCTTCGCATTCTGATGTGAGATTTGCCTAAGGCAACCCCACAATATCACAAGTTTAGGACAATATTGAGTCTTGATGGTTTAAACATAAGGAAAGAAGGGCATGCCAAAGTATGCCCAATGCATTATTTGACCCTCAGAGCTCAGGCTTATGTTTCTGGAATTGTGGAGAAGTTTCTTATCATTTAGATCCCACCTCTTCTACCAATGAATTATCTTTCGAGTTACTGAAAGGCTCAGTAAGAAGCCAAAACAGCAGTAAAAGCAAAGCAATTGGCCAAATTTAACATACTTCAAGATGAACATATCTTAGGCACCCGACAAATATCTTGCATCTGATGTATATTTATACCTCCAATGTTCCGTCCTGGATCCACTGCAGGCTGCTCCGATGAAATTGAAGCAGGAAAATTTGGTAGGTTGAGTTGATGATCAAAAGAACTTGAATGGTTCTGAGAGCCAGTTGTAAGATCAAATGAATTTGAATGGTTCTGAGGATCATCTGAGGTTTGATTCTGATTAAGGCTTAAAAGAGATTCGCCATCATATTCAACAACATTCATCCAGTTGTCATATGCCTTCTTGACTAAGGTGTCCACATATTCCTGCAAGAACACTTTGATGTTTGCTTAATCTCTTCTTCATACAGGGGAAATCAAAGAATCCAAAGTCAAACTGATACAACTGATAGAAACATGGTATATAGTAACAACACTACTTTCAAAATTTTAGCATATGACACAGACAAACGAAAGAGTGCAAGCTGCATCAGAATAGGGAGCTGATTGGGTGAGTTGGGTCGGATTTAGATAGGCTAAAATGGTTTTAGTAAAAGATTTGGTCTCAAATAATTTTGGGCCAGGCATGGTTGGGTCGAAAGGCTTGGACTGTGCAAATAACGGAAAACAAGATTTATTCCATTTAAGAACATGCTCAATAGAACCATTTCCTTGACTTCAGTATCCAATATGACAATTTAAACATTTTTCTGGAGGTGCTCGAAAAGATAAATTCTTCTCTGCTTTTACTGCAAGCAACTAGAAAAGCATATTATTTTCTTTTTTCTTTCTTTTACAAATTGTTCGATGTTTCCATAACAACTCATTCAAAAGAAGAAAAAAGAATCAAAGACACTTGGTTATGTAAAACAATATCGACAACAACAATAACAACTACAGCCCCAAACAAGTTGGGGAAAGACAATTATTCAAAAGAGGAAAAGTTCAAGACTATAAACCTTTTGATTCTCCGAAAGAGAATCAACTGAATGAAACTGTCCGCCAGAGATTAAACCACACAACTCATAGATATTGATAAAAACAACTCCAACACTCCTCATATCATCAGGATAGTAGACATGGAGCTTCCCGCTAAGAACACAGGTCTTCGCGTGCTCCACTAGAGCATCCCACATCTTATTTGACATTCCACTTCCCAAGATCTGAGACAATAAGGTGATGAAACAAAAAGAAATTGTTAATATACAACCACAATTATCATATTATATTCTCCAACACAACGGGTTTAATTTATTACATTTCGGAGCCTCTGAGAGTCTCTCACAATGAATCGTAGGAAGTCTTCCACCGTATGTATGCCAGCTTTATTTAGCCTCTTGTGGAAGGATCCATCTTTCCCTATCTTTTCCAATCTCCAAACGTCATCATTTAATGCAGGTGGATAATGTTTCTTGTACACTGAAGAAGAAGACAGTCACATAATTGTAATTTGCATACAAAATGGCACATAATTTGACATAATATAGACTTACATTCTCCTCGATGATCCTTCACACTAAAGGCTTCTGTTTTTGCCTCACGAATGTGCATTCCCTCGCGAGAACCTGATACGACTTTTAAGCCTAGTCTGAACTTTCTGCTTCTTATCCAACTAGAGTTGTCGGTAAATGTCAGCTCGCCAAGGCTACCTACACCGTCCTTCAATATCACTTGCAAGTCTCCTGTAAGAAGCGGCCTTTTACCTTCACGCTCCTTCACAATATGAGACTCAAATTCTTCTCGAGTCCAGCCATCATCATCCTCGTTATTAAAATCTCCTCCAAGTACAACAACATCTAGTTTAACAGCAGACTCTGGACCCGATGTTACAACATGGCATGTATTTCCATCAAGCAAGACAATATGGATTGCAGAACCCCGCTCTCCTTCTACTTTCCCTCCTGTAAAGAGAGGCAGTGACAATTTAGACCTGAACTGAAGCTGCAAATTTCTCCCATCTGGCCCTTCAATTCTGTTTGGAGAAACCCTGCATAATGTTTTAGTTGTTCAATATCAAGAAAGAAGGGACTGTCATATAAAGCAAAATTACTACGGGAACTCAAGCAAGCAGAGGCATTATTACTCTAGCTTCTGATGAAATTGCTTGAGCGGCAAAGGGTTTAGCCAATAACCTCAAGGCTCTGATCCAAATTTATGGCAGACAGTTTTTTTAAAGTCAGATCTATTCAACATTCTTGGGAGAAGAAACAAGATTGCATATTATTTAGATGCAAATGTTAGTCATAATTTTTCTTGGAACATTGATTCTATTAAACAGTCAGCATCCAGTGGGAAGACTAGCCATAAATCTTTACAATATTGAAATAAAACTCAGCACAAGCAGTGACATTATAAACAAATTGAAGCTTGGAGCTGTGACAAATTACAATAAAACCATCAAAGCAATGAGTAATTTCTCTTTGAAGAGATTCACATATAAAATACTATGGAAAGTACTTAAAGCTGAGTGAATCATATGAAGCAACAGATATTAAAGTGAGGGAAAATAGATGATTCCAATCTGATTGATGCCTTGCCCATTTCCATTTATTATGATTTAATGTCTAAACTACTTGTAGAGCTCTTTAACAATAGAAAGACTTGAAGAAACAACTTAGAAACAATATTTTAACTCTCTAATACCTTTCCAAACTGATTTTCCGTAACCACTCTTTTGACAATTCTAACTTTGATATTTCGCTGCACTATCATTGCATGACGAATGCAAATACAAAATTTACAACTTGGACAGTAACCAACAAATTGATCGCCAGAACAATACTGAATGGATGCTAAAACTAAGGGAACCAGGGCAATCGCTTCTTCGAGACCAATTCCAACAATATCGAAATTCTAGTTAGAACCCGGCTGCTTTCTTGGAAGTAATTGATAGGCAGGTGTCAGTTCTCATAGCGAGGTTTAGGCCGATGGAGTCAACCCCGACCTACACAACTACGCAAAAATATGAACAAAACATGTGCATCTCTACGCAAGGGTGTGGCTTAGAGGTCAACGGAACGGATGAAAATCATATGAGACCAGGGTTCAAATCCCACCAAAAGCAAAAAAACGCTAGGAGATTTCTTCTCATCTGCACACACCTTGGCAGAAAAAGTTACCCGATATCTGTGCTGGTGAGAGGTTGCAGGTACAAGGTAGAATAGTCGAGGTGTGACTGAGCTGGTCCAGACACCATCAATATTGTTTTTAAAAAAACTAGCAGTACCAGCCTGGCTTAAATTTAATATGTCCATCAGAAACCATGAAAACCTCCTCTCTACTGTACCAACTTCCGCAGTTCGCATCTCAATTCTATTTCAGGTAAACATTCAAAACTTTAAGAGTGAGTCAAATGATCCTCAATGGATTAATTGTAAACACCTAGAAAATAGTGTGTAAGTCAAACCTATGTTCTGAAACATCTAATGAAGATATGTGAAGCCATACCTTGCATTAAGTTTAGCCGGGCCAAGTTTTGCCAATGCACGCTCCACTTCTTCACTAACCTAGTGAGCACAAAGGAATATCCAGAAATAAAGATAAAAGAACCAATTAAATCTAGAAGACATCTTGTTCAAGTGCAACAACAATGAAAGATCATGCATTTTGCAATAATACAAAAAACAGGAAAGATAAGCATTTCAGCATTTTTTCCAGTATAGCAGTTCATGGACCGGTAAATAAACATTCGCGATCCAAATATTTCAATGCCATGCATCACAACATGAATAAAAAATAGCCATTCCCAAATAGTATTCACATTAAGACCTTGAAATTAAGGACAAGGGGGGAGGGAGAGAGAGAGACAACTACTATTGAGATTAGAGAGATAGAGAGAGAGAGAGAGAGAGAACTTCTATAGAGATTACAACAGTTATAGTTAAATCCAAAACAATGACATATTGGACAAATGGTCCCATAACCCCTTGCAATAACTCATCAATTCTAAGCGGTGCATCGAGCTCAAATATCTATAACTTGTTCTATTTAGCTTGTCTAGGCATAATTTCTGCATCTTTTCATTTTTTTCGTTTAAACTTCCTTTTACACTACTAGGTAAATATCTGTAGTTTCCAACTAATACTAGATTTAGATACACTGATGGGTGGTTGAAACAACCATGTTAGATATTACTAAGATAGTGGTTCCTAACATTCAATGAGCAGCAAGAGAATTTATAAAGGGCCTAATAGTCTTACAACTCTCCGAAGAATTGGCTCCAGTGATGAGCAAAGTTTCTGCAGACTGTCCACCTTTAGCGCTTCAACGATAACACTGCACTAACCATATACTTTTCAACAAATGATGCTATAATTACAGCTACAATAGGTATTGAATTTCAGCTTCTCGGGGAAGAGTAAGACAATCCAGTTCACACAATTTCATGTTTGATTGGAACACAGGATATTACACATCCAATAACTATGGATATATTGTTTTGCATTACAAAAGCCTATGACTAGAATTGCCAAATCTTAAATGAAACATTTTCTAGCGGGTGACAATAAAAGTACTGATATAGTTGATTGACCATCACATAGAATAGGCCTGTGAAAGAGGCATCAGCCAATTGGATGGTCAGAGATGCCAAAGCGTTTTTCAGGATCTTGAGATGCGCATGTACATTCATGGTTGCAAATTAGAGGGGCCAACATTCACCTCTTTGTGATGTTCGGTTAATCTATTGACAGTTGAGTTGAAAGCTCAAACTTTGACTAACCTATCGGAACTGACCTACTACATCACTTCTATTACTGTGGCAAGCAATCATACCATTCCATTTTGCAAGATACTGGCAACAAGAGGTGGCAACTGCCAAAAATGTAGCTCATATCACCTCATTTCAACTTCCTCACGAGACACCAGTGCGTATATTACACTTAACAAATGGAGCCATAATACATCAAACAGCAATATGAACTTTTTCAAATACTGCACCATATCTATAGGTCACAGAAATGCGATCAGAATTGAACTTAAGGGACATGGTTCGACTTCGACTTTCACTAGAAGAACTAAAAAACCCAAGAATAAGTATCTCTCCTCAACAATTATAACTCTTCCTTCCCTCAATTATAACTTTTCTTAACAAATTTATTACCCGATACCCCATTATGCTACCAGCACTCCCCACCTTCACTCTCCACAACAATTCGTGTAACGTCTTTAGTAAGCATCTCCACAAATTTCTCCAATTTTAAGCACTAGCTACTATTGAGACATACAACAACAACAACAACAACCCAGTAAAATCCCATTAGTGGGGTCTGGGGAGGATAGTGTGTATGCAGACCTTACCCCTACCCGAAGGAGTAGAGAGGCTATTTCCGAAAGACCATCGGCTCAAGAAAAGAAAAAGACAAAAGGACAAAAGGAGACAATATTAGTATCACTACAGAAATCATATGAAGAATAGGAACAACATGAAATCCAGAAGAAAGATGCAAAGCATAAGCGTGAGACATAATTAACACTATTTGATAAAAATACAATCCGGTGCTTCATTGCTACCCCATTGCCAAAATTAGCTCAGCGCATATATAGAAAGAAAGAAGCACTAAAACCTATGTTTACATGGTACATAAATCAAATGAGTGTGCAAGAAAAAACAATCTAACATAGACTAAACCCAATATATAACACAAAATATTACTCCCTCTATCCTAGTTTATGTGTGTTGGCTAAACTGGCAAAAACATGGTATTGATATTGTCTGCTTTGGGTTCTCATACCATTAAATATCCCTACTGTAGCTTCCCAATCATTTTGTCTGCACACCAACAATGTGACACTTTTTTTTTAATCTATTCCAAAAAAATGATGTATTTCTTTATAGAGAAACGATTTAACTTTAAATTTCTCATTTTCCGTCACACAACTATCAAAAGTCAAACTATGTTACATAAACTGGGACGAGGGTTTATAATTTAAATATATAGTTTTTGATGAATTTAAAAAAAAAAAAGAATTAAGGTAAAATACCTGGCAAGAGCTGGTCTTTTCCTATCAGGTTGACTTTCCTCATTAGTGCTAACATCAAGTGTACGTTTTTCTCCACTCTTCTGCATTTTTTCTCTTAATTGGGATCTGATTTTTCAACTGTTTTTCAGTTATTATAATTTTTGCTCCAAGCGAATCAGATTCTAACGGCAAAAAAGAAGATTAAAAGGAGGAGAAAATAAAGTAAGAAAGTGAAGATGAAAGTGAAAAGACAAAGCGGGAAAATTGAAAGAAGAGAAATGGTTGAGTGGTTTCGCGGAAAGTTCGAGGAAGATCTTTGGATTCTCTACTAACTGTTAAAAAGTTTACTGTTTTGATGGCTGCCCCTCTTTGGCTTGCACTGTGGATATATTGAAAAGATTTTTACCACTATGAACCAAACAATGTTAAATTATTAGTACGATTTAAGATATAAATTAAAATTTTAAAAAAAATATGGAAATGGGTCAGAAATATTCTTATCATTTGGTAAATAGTTTACATTTACCCTCCCTCTATTTTTTGGTCCAAAAATTATACAATGTTATCTTTCGTCCCACAACTAAGTAAAAATAGCACGGAGTAACAGTTTTTGGACTGGTCATTCAAAATAGTTCGCGTTTGTAAAGTTATTGAAAAATAACCACTATTTTGCAGCAACACGGAAAGTTCCAGCATAATATACTGAAGATTGATGCACCTGTGTATGAACTTCCAACATATTATGCTGGAACTCCAACACGCGAAAAGTTCCAGTATAATATACTGGAGATTGGCTCCAATCTTCAGTATATTATGCTGGATCGGTATATTATACTAGAATATATTATACTGGAGTATTTTTCTGTATTTGAACAGTATTTTAGTTCAGATTTATCTTTACATGAAAAGTGACTAAATTTCAATTACTTTTGAAACTGCGGCTATTTTTGAACGACCACTTATAAATCTGTTATTTTTGAATTTCTGCCGAATAATATGTGGACCCTTTTTAATATGTTGTCATCATTTCATTGGGATACGTGACACCCAGTTCGTACGTAAATATATTATGTCAAGCAACTGTGATTTTGGGGAGAAATTCAAAAATAGTCAGATTTACCACTGGTCGTTGAAAAATAGTCAAGTTTCAAAAGTCATCGAAATTTAGCCACTTTAAATCTGAGCGAAAACACTGTTCAAAATCCGGAAAAATGCGCCCGCAAATTTTACGGGAGTTCCAGCATAAGTATGCTTGAACTCCCGTAAATTTTACGGGAGTTCCAGGATAACTATGTTGGAACTCCCGCAAATTTTACGGGAGTTCAAGCATAATTATGCTGGAACTCCCGCAAATTTTACGGGAGTTCCAGCAAGTATAATTGTCCAGTATAATATACTGGAGTTTGGAGCACTGGTGCTCCAGTCTCCCGCAAATTTTACAGGAGTTAGCAAAGTATACCGGTCCAGCATAATATGCTGGAGTTCGTACACAAATGCACCAGAACTCCCATATATTATACTGGATCGGTCCCTGTTGCAGCAAAATAGTTGCTATTTTTCATTGACCGGTGTGAAAACTGGCTATACCATGATATTTTAACGTGATTTTGTCCTCTTGAATTTAGGGTTTGTCTTCTTGGGCTTCTTATCCATTTTTTAAAGGAATCTTTACACCCTATAAAAAATCTTAGTACCCTATTTATTTTAAATAAATACCATTTTAAAATATTACATCCTATAGATACCTTTTATACTTTATAGCCAAATATCTAATTATAGTTACATCCTACATTTAAGGCACCATATATGCTAAATAATATTTTTCTCTCTCCTTTTTAGTCTTTTCTCTCACATAATCACCGTAAAATTGACTAACCACGTTCTCTCTCTCTTTTTGCATACACTTTACTCTTTCTCCCTCAACCCACGATTCATACCTCTTCTCCCACCCAAATTCTCTAGTTCTCCTCCATTATCACTCCATTACAATCGCTTAGGGTAAGTTTAATTCGTTGATTTTGATAGACGAAGAGCAATTGGTTCAACTGTAGTGGCTCGATTCTGCATGGCAGTGGTCGTCGAAGTAGGGTTCACAGCTTTTGCGTAATTCATGGCTTCGTTTGTGGGATTTGAGGGCTGGGGATTGTTTGTAGTTGTTGTAGGAGGTTGGGCAGATGTGTTAGGGGGCTGACCAGCCGGAATTAATGGTTGGCCGCCGGGCGGCGAAGCCATAAGGCTGTTTCTCTCTCTAGATCGCCCAAATCGCCTATTGTATTCAGTTGTATTCGAATGTATATTTCAGCTGTATTCACATGTATTCAGCAGCATTCATTTATATGTTTTAGTATGTATTAAAAAGTTATGTGTATTCTCTTGTATTCAGTTTTAATCAGTTGTATTTAACTATTTTATTCAGCAGTAGTTAGTTGTATTCAAGTGTTTTATACAACTGTATTCAGTTGTAGTTAGTTATATTCAACTATTTTATTCAGCAGAAGTTAGTTGTATTTTGTTGCATTCAAGAGTTTTATTCAGTTGTATTTTGTTGTATTCAAGTGTTTTATTCAGATGAATTAAGTTGTATTTTGTTGTATTCAACTGTATACAGTTCTACTCAACTGTATTATTCATATGTATTTCTCTTTATTCAGCTATAATCTTTATTATGTATCTTTCAAATACAGATTAATGAGGGATCGTTTTAGTTCGTTGAGTTAAATTAGGAGAATATCATGTGATTTGATTTCCTCCGTTTTTAACCAGTTTAACCTTCCAAATTTTGCGCAGATACGTTACTGTATTTAACGTTAATGCCGCTTGAATACAGCTAAATACATGTCAAACTTAGCTGGAATTTCACTTTTTACGCCTATTTTTTTGGTTGTATTAATGAATACAACAGTTTAAATACATGAAATACATTGTATAAAAACATAAAAGGTATCTATAACACGTAATATAGCAAAGGGTATCTATAAATGGCTAATTAGACCTAAAAGATGGTGCTTTATGAAAAATTCTCTTTTTTAAAAGATAAAAACAAGATATAGAATCTTTAAACTGGAGTTTAATATTTTTGAAATGATGAATTTGCATCTTCTAATTTATTCAATTTTGTTTCTGAGTCGTTCCTTACAGCTTGTTTGGATGGTTGTTCCTAGTTGTATTGTATTGTATTGTTATCCCAAAACAATGTTTGTTTTGATTGTTTCATTAAAATTGGTTGTATTGTATTGTTAAATTCATTGTTCCGAAACAATGAAAAGTTTCCGTTTTTGAAACAACCGATTTAGTGTGGTGGGATTGTTTCCTATTTTTCTTTCCAATTATGCCTTAACTTATTACTCCATAATTCTATTTTACCCTTTATCTTTTTTCTATTTTAACTCCAAATCTCCAACTTATAACCTACTTTGTTTTTTTCCAGACCAATGTTAAAGATGTTTTGTTGCCTCCTGTTTTATTTTTTCTCCTAATTTGCTTGTAACTCAATTCTAATTAGTTGTACTCCTTTGTTTTGCTTTTTTCTGTCTCGCTCCTTTGTTCTGCTTCCTTATTGTGTTTTGTCTTCTTCTGTTTTGTTTTTTTAAATTATTTTTATACATAATTTTGATAAATTTAATATTTAAACAATTGAGGGTATTTTAGTAAAATTATCAGTTACAGTACAGTACGATATAGTCAAACCAAACAACAAAATATTATTTAACAATAACAAACAATACAATCTACCCAAATATTGTATTCATAAAACGATACGGTACAATACGATACAATACAATAGAATACATTATAAAACGATAGGGAACAATGATCCAAACAGAGTGTTAGTTTCTAAAGATAAATTATCATTTTTTAACTTTAACCAGGAATTAGTCAAAACAATCGATAAATTGAATATATGCTAGTTGAAATGGTAATCTTCAATAGGTTAGTGTAAGAACATGGCTAAGTATGCGAAGATTTATGGTTATGAGTTTAAGTGGTTCTTCCGTTGAGCACAAACAGAATAAAGAGGAGCTCGAATTATTTTGAAAATTTATTTCTATGAGAGCATCTTCAACGCTCCCCATTTCTTCAAAATGCAGTCATTTTTTGTCAAAATGTGGCTTCAATGCTCCTCCATTTTTGGCTGCAAAATGGGCATGAGTAGTGTTACTCCAAATTTGGAGTGACACTATTCATCTCCTCTATTACTATTCATCCTTACTTTATTATTATTTTTATTATTTAACTTTTGTAGTTTATCTCTTTATATATACCTAATTATGTTTATGTAATATCTTTATAATATTAAATTTACATCTTAACTTTGGCGTATAATTTTGATAAATTAATTTTTGTGCATTTATTAATTTTATGTAAAATTGTAAGTTAATTTTATTATAAGTTATTTGTAATATATATATATATATATATATATATATAATCATCTCAAAATATGAATGGTGCAAGTATAAAATATTAGATGTTGCTAAAATTGAAAGGTGCGAATATAAAATATTAGTTGTTGCTAAAATTGAAAATACATTAAATAAAAATACATTAATGGTCGAGGATGAGCGTGATCTTAATGCACCAATTCAGGATGAGGAATGTCCACCTCCAATGGTAGAAATGGTAGTAGATGAAACTCACTGATTTGAACAATTTTTAGCTCGACACTAAAGAATTAAGGACAAAGATGCTCATTTTGCACTTCGTAATGCATTAATAGATCATTTTGGAGTTTGGAGGTTCTTGGGATCAGTTCTTGCCACTGGCTTAGTTCGCCTACAATAACAGCTACCAGTCCAACATTCAGATGGCACCGTATGAGGCCTTGTATGGTAGGCGGTGTAGGTCCCCGGTGGGTTGGTTCGAGCCGGGCGAGGCTAGATTATTGGGCACAAACTTGGTTCAGGATGCTTTGGAGAAGTTTAAGGTGATTCAAGAAAGACTCCATACAACCCAGTCCAGACAGAAAAGTTATGCGGACCGGAAGGTTCGTGATATTTCCTACATGGTTGGAGAGCGGGTCTTGCTTCGGGTTTCGCTTATGAAGAGCGTTATGAGATTTGGGAAGAAAGGGAAGTTGAGTCCGAGGTTTATTGGTCCTTTTGAGATATTGTGACATGTTGGGGAGGTTGATTATGATCTTGCCTTACCTCCCAGCTTGGCAGGAGTTCATCTGGTATTTCATGTTTCGATGCTCCGGAGGTATCATGGTGATCCGTTGCACGTGTTGGATTTAGTTCAGTCCAGTTGGACAAGGATCTGTCTTACATTGAGGAGCCAGTGGCGGTATTGNGGTAGTAGATGAAACTCACTGATTTGAACAATTTTTAGCTCGACACTAAAGAATTAAGGACAAAGATGCTCATTTTGCACTTCGTAATGCATTAATAGATCATTTATGAGAGTACACTAGAGGTGGAAGTTGAATATTTATGTAGTATTTAACCTGAATTTTACCATAATATAATATGTATTTAATTATCTTATATCTCAATAATTTCACTTTTATATCCGTGTGTATATATATATATATATATATATATATATATATATATATATATATATATATATATATATTTGCTTACAAATTATATTATTTAAAAACTTATGGTATAAAATAATTTAATTAAATTATATGTGATGAATATATAAAAAAGAAAAAAGATAGAATTTCTTTAATAGAATAAAAAAATAAAATTAAAATAAAAGAATAATAATATAATATTGGAGAGAGAGAGAGAAGAATATAAACGGAAAATTCTTTTTTGGAGTAAAAAATAGAGTAATGGTTGGAGTAACTTTACTCCATTTTGGAGTTCACTCTATTTTGGAGGAGAAAATGGAGGCAAGGGCTGGAGATGGCTTGAGCACTTGTTGTCCTATTACAGTAAACTATATTAAAACACATAATAATATACCCGAATTATTTTGAAAATTCTTTTTTACGCATAATAATATACCGAATTATTTTGAAAATTTATTTTTCGGAGCACTTGTTGACCCGTTTCTATTACAGTAAACTATATTAAAACACATAATAATATACTTACGATGTAAATGTTGCTCTAATGTAACAAAACTAACTCCTACTATAACATGACTGCCCAAAAAGGTAACTTATAAAAATGAAGAAAAAAAGTGACTAGAGATGGCAATGGAGCGGGCGGGCGGTTGCGGAGCGGGTTGAACCTTAACCCGCAAAGATTTCAACCCGTCCCTCCCCTCCCCACATAACAAGTTTTTCTATTTTCAACCCCCCCCCCCGTCCCCGTCCCCGNNTTTACCCCAACCCCCCCCCCTCCCCGCATAAACCTGTCCTGCACCGCCCCGGGAGGTAAATATTTTTCTAACTTGAGACGTCATTCATCTTCATTCTTTTGATATTTTTTTAAAAAGAATTTAGCTTTAGACCGTGAATTGCTAATTAATATACTCAATTTTTCTCTTCTCTAACATTTATTTTTGCATTGTATATAGAATATAGTATATATGCTTAGAGAGAAACCTTTATATGCACTATTTCTGTTATTTTTCTTACACTGGAATGATTTTAGCTTTGGCTCCGAAATTTATGATCCTAGAATTTAATTAGCTTGCAGGCTTCAAACTCTTATATTAAAACTAGGCAATAATAGCCCGTGCCAGCACGGGTCCAATAATGTAGAAACTGAAACTTCGTATTTTTTGATAAACTTCTTTTGTTATAGACCTTAGATAAATTGAGACCAAAATAGAGAAATTTTGACGATAACGGAAAAACAAAGAGCAGAAATAAGAGAAAAAGAAAGAAAGCATAGAGAATGAAGAGGGAGAAAGCAACTTCCATAAGTGAGAGAACTGGAGCTTCTAGCATGCATCATCAATTATTAGAAATTATCAAGATGAAGCTATCTAGTTTAATTTTATTTTTCTAATCTTAAAAAGAAAATTGAAGGTTCAATCGAAGGTTAGGATAGAAATTAGATTAACAACGACAACAACGACCCAATGAAATTCCACTAATGGGGTCTGGGGAGAGTAGTGTATACACAGACCTTACCCCTACCCCAAAATAGAGAGGTTTTTTCCGAAAGATCATTGGCTCAAGAGGACAAAAAGAAGACAAACAGACAATAGGAGACAATATCAGTATTACCGCAAATAATCATAAGAAAAATAGGAACAACATGAAATCCACAAGAAAGATGCAAAGCAAAAGCAATAACTAGTAAATAGGTCCAGCACTGAAAAGCGAAATAGTAAGACACGACATTTTCACTAGCTATCTAGACAAAAATCCTACCAAACTAGTCTAACAACGGTACGAAGTAAGGCAAGACTCAACTACCTCCTAACCTACAACTCTAATACTCGACCTCCACATCTTCCTATCAAATGCCATGTCCTTAGAAATCTGAAGCCTCGCCATGTCCTGCCTGATCACCTCTTCCCAATACTTCTTAGGCCGCCCTCTACCTCTTCTCGTGCCCTCAACTACCAGTCGCTCACACCTCCTTACCGGAGCATCTGGGCTTCTCCTCTGTACATGCCCGAACCATCTGAGCCTCGCTTCCCGCATCTTGTCATCAATGGAGGTCACGCACACCTTCTCCCGAATATCATAATTCCTAATCTTGTCCATCCTGGTGTGCCCGCACATCTACCTCAATATCCTCATTTCTGCTACTTTCATCTTCTGGATATGTGAGTTCTTAACAAGCCAACACTCAGTCCCGTACATCATGGCCGGTCTAACCACCGCTTTATATAGCTTACCTTTGAGTATCGGTGGCACTCTCTTGCTCCAGATGCTAATCTCCATTTCATCTATCCTACCCCAATACGGTGTGTGACATCCTCGTCGATCTCCCCTCCCCCCTGGATAACCGACCCAAGGTTCATGAAGCTGCCTCTACCCGGGATGACATGTGAATCAAGCCTCACATCTTTACCCACTTCCCTCGTCTCAGCATGAACTTACACTCCAAGTATTTCGTCTTCGTCCTGCTCAACTTGAAGCCTTTAGACTCAAGAGCCTGTCTCAAAACCTCCAGCCTCTCGCTAACATAGGTTCGCGACTGATCAATCAGATATGTCATCGTCAAATAGAATGCACTATGGTACCTCCCTTGAATATGGTGTGTTAGCGCGTCCATCACCAGGGCGAATAAGAACGGACTGAGCGCAGAGCCTTGGTGTAATCCCATAACAACCGGAAAATGCTCAGAGTCGCTTCCAACTGTCCTTACCCGAGTATTAGCCACATCATACATGTCCTTAATCGCCATAATGTAGGGAACCGACACGCCTTTTGCCTCCAAGAATCTCCAGAGAACTTCTCTAGGAACCTTGTCATATGCTTTCTCTAGGTCAATAAACACCATGTGCATGTCCTTCTTCCTATCTCTGTATTGTTCCACCAACCACCTAACAAGGTGTATAGCTTCTGTAGTAGAACGACCCGTCATGAACCCGAACTGGTTGTCGGATACAGACACCGAAATCCTCACCCTCGCTTTAACCACCCTCTCCCACACTTTCATGGTGTGACTCAGTAATTTGATACCCCTATAATTGTTACAACTCTGGATATCACCTTTGTTCTTATACAATGGAACCATCGTACTCCACCTCCACTCATCCGGCATCCGCTTTGCCTTAAAAATAACATTGAACAACCAAGTCAACCACTCCAAACCTGCTCTCCCCACACACTTCCAAAATTCTACCGGAATCTCGTCAGGCCCGGTCGCTCTGCCCCTACTCATCTTACTCATAGCTCTCACGACCTCCTCAACCTTGATGCGCCTGCAGTACCCAAAGTCACGGTGACTCTCAGAATGCTCCAATTCACCTAGCACAATATCTCGATCCCCTTCTTCATTCAGAAGTTTATGAAAGTAAGTATGTCATCTCCTCTTAATCTGGGAATCTTCCATCAATATCTACAATAGTCGTCCTTGATGCATCTCACTTGGTCCAAATCCTGATCCTTCCTCTCTCTCAACTTGGCCAGCCGGAATAACTTCTTCTCCCCACCTTTTTCCCCTAGTTCCTCGTACATACGACCATAAGCCGCAGTATTAGCCTCTGTGACTGCCAGCTTAGCTTCCTTTCTAGCTACCTTATACCTCTCCATTCACACTCGCCTCTCCTCCTCACCTTTGCTCCCCACTAACTTCAGGTACGCCGCCTTTTTCACTTCCACCTTACCTTGGACCACTTCATTTCACCACCAGTCTCTTTTGTGACTGCCAGAGACGCCCGTCGAGACCCCTAACACCTCTCTCGCAGCCTCCCTTATACAGTTTGCTGTCATAGACCACATAGTGCTCGCGTCACCACTGCTCCTCCAAGCTCCCATAGCCGACAACCGCCCTCCAACTCTTGGGCTTTATCCTTAGTTAAGGCTCCCTACCTGATTCTCGGTCTTCCTCGAGCATACCTGTTCCTTCTCTTTAACATAATACCAATGTCCATCACCAAGAGTCTATGCTGCATCGCGAGTATCTCTCTTCGAATCGCCTTGCAATCCTTGCATAACCCTCTGTCACACCTCCTGAGGAGGAGATAGTCAATTTGAGTCTTCGCCACCGCATTTCGAAAAGTGACCAAATGCTCATCCCTCTTCGGAAAGGTAGAGTTCTCAATCACTAACCCAAAAGCCTTAGCGAAGTCCAATAACGAGGTACCTCCTCCGTTCATCTCCCCAAAACCGAAGCCTCCATGCACCTCGCCATAACCACCTGTGGTCGACCCAATATAACCATTGAAATCCCCTTCTATGAATAGCTTCTCAGCAGGCGAAACCTGGCGCACAATCTCATCTAACCCCTCCCAGAAATGTCGTTTAACCTCTTCATCTGGGCTCGCATGCGGCGGATAGGCGCTAACAACGTTTAGAGTGCACTCTCCAATCACCAACTTAATAATCATCAATCTATCATTCACTCATCTAACCTCAACCACAGACTCTCTAAGTTCCCTGTCCACCAAGATACCCACTCCATTCTTACCTTTCTCGACTCCTGAGTACCAAAATTTAAACCCGTCCGTGTCCCTCACCCTCGACCCTACCCACCTTGTCTCTTGGACACACGCTATATTGACCCTCCTCTTCTGGAGGATCTTTGCAAACTCTATTGACTTTCCCGTCAATGTACCTACGTTTCATGACCCAATTCTCAACCACTGGACACCCGTGTTCCTTTACCTCCCTAGCCTCCCGACCCGCCCCCTAACCTCTGCCCTACCTCCCGCCTTACCACCCGCTCCCCCCGAGGACATGACCTCACTCAACCATCCCAGACCACAACCACTATACCTATGGCAGACTAAGGGGAAACACTAACACACACAAGGCAACAGACCAAACTAGAAGAATACAAGTTGCAACTACGGGGACACTAATACGGTGAATAAAATAATATGGACTAAGACCACAACAACTTAACTAAGTATAAATTAAAGACTCAGGATCAGCAAGATATGTGAAACTAAATACCCTAGACACTACGAATAGGGCCGGGAGCAAATACAAAAGGTCTAAACAATACAAGTGAAATCAAATAATTAAATGATCTAAGCAAATAAACCACTACTATTCAATACTAGTATAGAACACACTACGAACAATGAAACAAATTTAAACAAAGTGTGTCTAAGACAAAGTGCAATGAGACATGAACATAGAACCTGGTACCGTCGACGGAGACGGTAGGGCTGGTGGTGGTCGTCGAAGAACTGGCCGAAGTTATTGGGTAATGAATCACCTGGCTTGAAGACAGGTCTGGTCTGCGTTTGACCACGGCACTGCAAACAGGCCTGAAACCTGACTGTGGTTGTTCCCACTTGCCGTCGACTGTCCGTAGAAATTAGATTAACCATCTCAAGAATTGAGGTCCCATAAAGGAATAAACTTCTTTTGTTGTAGACCTTAGATAAATTGAGACAAAAATAGAGAAATTTTGACGATAATGGAGAAATAAAGAGCAGAATAAGAGGAAAAGCAAAAAAAGCATAGAGAATGAAGAGGGAGAAAGTAGCTTCCATAAGTGAGAGAACTAGAGCTTCTAGCATGCATCATCAATTATTATAAATTATCAAGATGAAGTTATCTAGTTTAACTTTATTTTTCTAATCTTAAAAAGAAAATTGAAGGTTCAATTGAAGGTTAGGATAGAAATTAGATTAACCATCTCAAGAATTGAGGTCCCATAAAAAAATATGATCAAGGTAAGCTCATGAAATTGCATCACAATAGAAGAAGGGCGTAGCTTTTAGCTACCATTAGCGAACAGGAAAACGGGGTGTAGAATTGAAAAAGAAAAACACCTAGGTTAACACTTGCTTACCTTTCCTATGTGATAGGCCCTCCAATTCTCTGTACAAAGAGATGATACTCCTTTCGGCGTACAATAAGTGACCAATTTGCTTTTTTATTTTGGTCCAAAATAAGTGTCCATTTATATAATAAAAAAATTCAATTTATTTTTCCAAAATTACTCTTATGTATGTATTCTTAAAAAGTCATTTACTCCTCACATTTGAGAAGAGAAGTAAGTGCTACTATAACTATGGTGCAACATTTAATGAAGGGTAGTTTACTCACACTAACTATTTTCGTCTAGAATTTAGTATTTTCTTAATGGGTGTGTCCAAAAAAAATTGATCACTTATTATGGACCGAAGGGAGTATTGATTGTAATGGCATCTTCTTCACTTGAAAATTGACTGAAACCAGTCTTCCTCGTCATCATAGTCCCTATTAAGCGTTGGAGGACAGAACATCTCAGCAAGAATAGCACATTTTCAGGGGAACAATCCATCGAGAAGTATCGAAGAGGAATACAAGTATACAACTGATGCGGTGGCTGTTCAACTTTGGTTCGGAGGACACGTTGTGTTAGCTATTGAATAAACTCCAAATAACCCTTTGATACAAATTTAATGCCAATAAGCTCACACGTCGAAACCGGGAGCTCTTCTAATATATAGAAAAATAGTGAGAATACATATTTGTTTTGCGAAACTTTCTTTTCCCTCAAAAGTACTTTGGGGAAGTTACATATTTAAGATTCTAGATTATTATCATAAGATTTGTAATCTTTAGTAGCTACGTACAAAAAATTGTTTGTGCAAGAATTAAATGTGTGTAAGATAAGCTTTCAGCTTCATATCCTTAGCTACTTAGCTTGATCTAATATGCTACACGCAACAAACCCGCAACTAAATCGGCAGCAGCCCAGGCATAGACCGAATTAGGGGCCTAAACTCTTGAGTAGATTGCCCGTGGAAAGGAGCTTACTCCAAGGTCTGACGCCGCCCGTGTAGGAGTTCGGGAAGGCCAGAAGTAAACAAAGAGCGGTAGAAGAGAATAAAGTGTTGCGCCCATCCTTTTCTTTCGTAGTTGGGGCAAAGCCTTATTTACCAAGCTCGGGACTAGAGGAGCATTTTTGAAATTTGAAGTATCGCTTGTAATGTAATAAGGATGAAGTCTCATTCATATAGTAATGTCCCTAGCTTCCGCCCAATTTGAGACTAAGGCGGGTTTGGAACCCTGTCCTATCACCTTTATCAAATCCCAAGCTCTCTTCCTTAGTGCAACTGCCCTATTCCTACCTGCTTCCGGAGTTTGAATCTCAAGCTAGGGATCACCACTTCCTTTAGTAGAAGCCCCGATATGAAATAGCAATCGTTATAAATAGACTTTGAGATGCTTGAACAGCTGCAGCCTAGACTTTTCGTTAACTGGATCTCCTACCTCCACTGTTAATAAGAAGAAGACAGGTGGGAACGAGCGGAGCGAGAGCAAAGCGAGTTCCAGTGGTGGGTTGTCTTCCTGGTTCCATTGAAATCTTTTTCATGGTATGGAACTCACTTCATACCTGCAACAGAGTCAACGCTGCGTAATACGAGGTCTATTGCTTATGTCCGATTTGCTGAGGCTAGCTTGACTTCACTCACTTTAGAGAGAGAGAAAAAAAGAATAAGAAAGGAGCGTAGCAGCCAGAAAGAGAAAGACTGTAAAAAGCGGAAAATAGGCACACACTAGTTTAGAGTAGAAGGAGTGAAAGCCACTTGACTGTAAGGAGAGGAGCTCTAAGTTGGAATTCAATAGTCTAAGAAATGGTCATCTGTACGTAACCTGCAACCGCCCCCTCTAATAGTTTTTTAAAAATTTGAACTCGTCCCGCATAATCTTAAACCGGCCCGGCAACAGGTCAAACTCGTACCGCCCCGTTGTCATTCCTATAAGTGACTGCACTAGAAAGTAAATTCAGCTATTCCTCATTTCCTCTAGTTGTTCTTGACTGTTGGGGGAACAAGAAGTAAACATGGATTAAATTATCGACCTAACTCTCCTTGTTATACAAAAGACACGTGTAGCCAGTTTTATTATTCAGTGAGTTGTACCAAAAATAACTAGTCCACTAAAACATACATAAGAAGTTGTGAGATGTGTTATTTATTTAACTTTAGCTAATGATCTTGTCGCTGGGTGGCATTAAAATGAAAGAGTATAGACTTAACCAAAGGTCTCGATTGAGTACGAGCTCTAAGAATGAATTTTTGTTGCTATAAAGCGCTTTACCCTTTAATGAGTCGGATCAATTAAGACTCCGATATGCGCACCGAGCAGGTAGCCCAAAGAAAAAGGTGCCAAAGGTATAACATTTTGATCCAAGACTAATTAAAGGGGCATGTGAAGCTAATTGAGTTATGTAATAACAATCCTTTATGAACTACTCCTATTTAGTAATAACTTCATCTTCCCTTTTTGAGAAGCTTTCACCAATGATGAGAAAGACCCAAGATTTGAAAAAGAGATACCGTCGGTCTTGAATTTTGTCCCGCTTGCCCCATGGGCAGAACTTCAAGTTTAACAAGTTTTGTCCCCGCTTACCTCATAGGCAGAACTTCAAGTTTAACAAGTGTTGTGTCCCCGCTTGCTCATTTCATGTTTAACAAGTGTTACCCCTCATTGTCTCATGGACAACACTTTTAACTTTTAACCTTGAAGTTCCGGCGATGGGGCAAGCAGGGGTAAAAAGTTAAAGATCACCCCAAAAAGTATCATATTTCTGCAATTTTTTGCATAATTACAACGGTCCTGGTCCAATAATTCCCTGATGTACAAAAATTGACAACATTTAGCATGGCTCAAAACAGTAGCTGTGGTACCTTGCGTAAAAGAAATCCAAGTGTATCATGAAATTAGTAAGAATAAATCAAATGCAAGATCTTATAAATAATCAATTGACAAAATTAACTGCCCAGATTAATGATTTTGAAAAAACCTTAGTCATAACATAAGCAAGATACTAGAAAATACACGAACAACATTCGCATAATAAAAAAGGTGTCACTGGTTAGAGCATCTCTACAAGAGGGTGAGACATTTTTCTCTCTTTTTCATTAGGAGGTGAAGGGGATAGGGAAACAAAATTGCTACTGCTTCTTGTTCTCCTTTTCTTTTGAACTGAAAAGAGATTTCATGTGTGCTTCTTGTTCTTCTTTTTACCTTTCTTCTTATCTCTCTTATTCTGCGGCTTGGGCCGAGATCTCTTTTTTGCAACTTTCTTGAATGGTTTCTTCTTAATTACCGGAATGTTTTGTTTGCTGTTTTTACTTTCTCCATCATGTTGAAGCACAGCTAATGGTGGCCCTTGAGCTGGGAAGTCTTCTTCACGAGAGATCTCACTTGTTGTCACGATAACTTGCACATCACCATTGTCATATGTTGTAGTCCCTTTTTTAACAAGAAAGAAAAACCAATACACAGGTTAAGTTCCAAAATCTTCATCGTGCTAAAACTGCTAATTTAAGCCCCTACTGCTACATATATCCTTACTATCAAGTTAACTTTACGTTGTGATAGGAGGACAAACCCCTTACACAATACCAATATTTTTTTTGTTTCTCAGTCGCACATA